ATAATAATATATTTTATTAATAACGAAAAAAAATTACCAATCAACGGTGAAGCCTTTTCATATGAGAAACTTTAAAAAAAAAAAATAAACATAAATAAAACTTGTTTATTTTGACTGATTTTTTGAAATTTTTTCAGAGAATAATATCAAGGCGAATAATTGCCGTGAGAGTTCCTTATTATTATTAGTAACTTACGATTTGTTATAAAGTCGTATGATTTTTATTTACTATATATTAATATATTAAAAAAAATTTTAAGTCACGTGTAATAGATAGGACTGCTCGGTTAATTAGCAAATTTGATTGGTCAATTTGAGAGGTTGATTTATGAGGTGATTTGCAACGATTTTTAATACGTGAGAAATTAATGAAAAGTGATCCTCTCTCTCCCCCATTCCCACTTTCTAATATGATGATTTGTTGTACGATAAGAATTGAAGATTATTTCACAAATTATGTTATTAATCAATTGAATGTTAAGATTTAACACAATTCAGACTACTAGTTATTTTTAGCAACAACAATAAACAATAACAACAACAACAACAACAACAACGCCAATAAATTATAATTTCTTAACAAAAAATTTATTTTTTTCCAAAATTAAAAATTGCGCATCCAAATCAATCAATAATTAACTATTTGTTGAATTAATAAATAATAATAATAACAAATAATTATATAATTATTAATCAATGAGCCAAACAATAATTAAAATTTTCTTATCTAAAGAATTAATTGTTTATTGTTTAAATCCTTGATAAAAAAATTTTGTTTTTGCTGATTCAACCGATTGAGAAAACAAAAATATTTTTAAAAGCGAGAACGCAATTTTTTTTTCATTTGTTATCATAAAATCATATACTTGTATATATATATATGGTATATGTGGTGGTAAGGATTATATAACTATTTTAAAATAAAATGTTTGTTTGTCTCTTGTTATTATTATTGTTGTTATTGTTAAAAGTTAAAGATATTGTTGCCCACTTGTCTTCAGCTGGTCCTGCGTATGGCATTTTGTTTTTTTTTGTTGCTTTCGTTATTGATTTTCGGTAATAGTATGTATATTAAGGGTCTGGTTAATGTGTGGAGAGAGAAGGAATAAAAAAAAATATATATTATACCATTCATTAAATATCACCCACCCTATAATCCCCAAAACAAAATGGTTTATGATCCAAATTCTTTATCAAACATTGACAAGATAAAAACAAATCATGTCGATTTGAAATTAAAGGTTAACTTTGAAGAAAAACTTATAGAAGGAAGTGTCACTTTACACCTTGTCAATCTTGTTGACGATGTTCATAAAGTTATTCTTGATACTAATCACCTTGAAATAAAATCTGTTTCTAGAGATGGTCAGGAACTACCGGTATATGAATTACCATGATAATCATTATTATAAAATCAATCAATCAATCAATCAATTTATATTTATAATTCATTCTTTAATTTTTAACAGTTTCGTTTTGGAGAAGAAAACGAAAAATTTGGATTACCTTTACATATTGATCTTAAAGATAATTTAGCTGTCAATACCAAATTTACTATAGATATTACTTACAATTCAACATCAGGATGTACAGCTCTCCAATGGTTAGAACCGAGGTATGTTATA